TAACATTAAAAATAAATGAGCTATTAAGCCATGAAGAAAAAAATGGAGGAAACTTAAATGCACATTACTAAGTGAAAGAAGCCAATCTGAAAAGACTACGCACTGTATGATTCCGAATATATGACACTCTGGCAAAGGCAAAACTAGAAACAGTAAAAAGATCAGTGGTTTCCAGAGGTTGGGATTGAGGGGAGGGATGAATAGGCAGAACACAGAGGAATTTTAGAACAGTGAAAATACACTGAAGGATACAAGAATAGTGGATACATGCAGTTACACATTTGTCCAAACTCATAAAATGCACAACACAAGAATGGACCCTTAGGTAAGCTATGGTCTTTGGGTGATTATGATGCGTTAGAGCAGATTCATCAGATGTAAGAAATATACCACTCTGGGGGATGTTGATAATGGGGAGGCCAAGCATGTGTGGAGCTAGAGGGTGTATGGAAAATCTCAGTAGCTTTCTTTCATTTGTGTAAACCTAAACCTGTTCTGAAAAAACTTCTTATAAATAAAAACAGAGCCATTTAAAACAAATTTGCATGTGTTGTGGTGAAGGCATTAATGAATCAGGTTATTCGAGGAATGAAAAGAGATTTTCTGATGAGGACAAGCCTTACCTCCCACTTCCCATAATAGTCAGGCAAACTCTCTAGATGCAGACAAGCAGCATCTACTTTTGACACATGCTTTTAGCAGAGACAGGGTTGGTGAGCTAAGATGAGGGAGATATTGAGGAATAGACAAGTCAGATTGTGGAGTCAGAGAATGTGGAAATCAAAGATGACCCCAAAAGACCAGGATAGGCTTTGGAATGCATCATTAGATCCGAAGAATGACAGACCTTGCTAAAGAATCAAGTTAAAAAAGGAATAGTGCTACTTTTTGGCAGTAGAACCCTTTTTTCTTTGAAATATCACATAAAATATGGATACAGTGATCTAATTAAAGAGAGCTCCAAAGCCCCATTAATTGTAACATCGATCACACTCACCTCCCCACCCACTATTGCTGTTAAAACCCTTCCCTGTGGTCCCAGAATATCCTGGAAAAGAGTTTTAAAAATCAATGGGCTAGGGAAACAGTTTCACTGAGGTTGGGATGGCTAAAAGTTATGGGACCTCCTTTATGAAGTAAACAATGAGGAGGACCAGGGGAAGCAAAATAAATGGTTGAAAATTTTCAGTGAGTGACTCTATAATCAAACCAGTGAGGATGTTCCTCCCACAGGGACATTTAATTCAGAATGAGAACTGGACAGGTACATCATACGGAACGGTTACTCAGTAAATGTTTTCAGATTTGATTTTGTTATCATAAAATGCAAAAAATGGAAGAATTTTCGCTTCATACTCTTGCACTCAGAATAACCCAGTATGGGGGGAGACAATCAAGATATGCTGTGCCTGGGGTGGCACCAAGGATCAGAGGGTGTACACAGGTAGCATTATCTGATTTGGAGGCCACTGGCTGACTGACCCTTGAGTGAAGGAACATAGATTCAGTGTCTAGGAATGGAGTCTACAAACACAATGGCTTCAATTTCAGTGGAAGGACTCCTGTGTATGATGTGGATAGGTGAAAGTGAGAAGAAACAGGGCAAGTCAAGCTCTATAGGAACAGAAAAACTGTGTTACTTTTCCCCTTTATGGCACTCATATTCAATGAAAGATTACGTTCAAATGGAGAAATAGTCGTTCCATGGAAAATCTGTCTGATAAAGAGGTTGCTCTGGAAAGGTTTCAGAAATGCAAAAGATCTGTCTAGATCAATCTGTCTAGAACCAATCAGCACATTCAAATGCATTTTTTGGTAACAACAAGCATTGGTGAGATGCAGAGTAACTGAACCATCATACATTGTTGGCGAGAATGTAGAATGGAATGTGATGTGGAGTCTACTGCACATGCGCACACACACAGATAAACAGACAAATGAGAACAAGTAAAAGTGGAAAAATCTGAAAAAGATTGGTAGATGTATCAATGTCAGTATTCTGGTTGCGATAGTATACTATGGTTTTGTAAAATGTTCCCACTGGGGAGAAACTGGAAAAAGCATGCAAAGGATCTCTCTGCATTATGTCTTATAATGGCATCTCAATTTCTACAATTATCTAATAAAAGTTTAAATAAAAATGTATTTTTGTGAAGTCTAGTGACAGAATCAGCTTTCTTTGATGTTACTTTTAAAAACCATATTATTTATGAATTTAATTCCAGTAGCTTTTCTATGACAGCTACAAAATCAATACGCATTGAGAAAAAAGGCAATTATGGGGAATATCTACTTTCTCAGGAACTGCGTTCCCTCTTCATGGAATAATATTGTACCTTTTCCTAGGAATTCTTCATTTTCACTCAGGAGCTTATCTACACTGCTTGCAAATAGCATTGGTCTATTGCATCCTTTTAAGATTCAGGCTGATGTGATACTATAAACTATGGGATTGAACAGAGGAACCCCCCGGCAGCCACATACCCCAGAACCAGGTGCATTACAAGAGACACCATTCTTCCAAATAGTGCAGAGCTGACAGTCCCTCTAGGAGATACAGAAGATAAGAACAGTGCAGAGGTGAGAAACACGTGCCCAGTGCCCATAGTCAGCTCCCAGGTACTCTCAGGCAGGCCACTGAATGCAAGATAAGGGCGTAAGCGGTGAGAATGAGGATAGTATCCATGTCTAAGCATGAAACCAGTTTCATTAGGCCATAAATGTAATTGATAATTATACCAGAACAGGCCAGGTTCATTTTATTCTGATTCAGACAGAAGGATGGGTCAGAGTCTTAACCCACAATAAACAAACCATCTTAGGAGGAAGGGTAGGGGTAGGATGAGAGTCAGGTTCCTGGCCCCAAACAGCAGTTCTACCTGTTGGGCTCTGGAGACACTGAACCATGAGGTGTATCTCAGTGAGAAAGAAATGACATCCTAGTGGCCAAGGCCATGGTAAGAACTGAAGGCTCCAAGAAGGAGAAGGTATAGAGGAAGAAGAGCTGATCAAATGAGTAGGTGTAGCAACATTACAGTGATTGAACCATAAGACAGTCAAGACACCAAGGAGGGTGGAAGAGGTCAAACCCAACTCAGGGGAAGCCAACAGGGCCAATAGTTGGTACATGGGCTCACATAGGTGACAGTCATACCTAATAATGTATACTATCATTGAGTTGCCCATGGAAGAGAGAAGATAGGGCTGACAAGACAGGCATACAACTTATCTGGACTTCCCACTAGAATGCAAATTGTGAGTTATGTACTGCCATTCATGGAGGACTCCATGATTTTGGCTCTGGAGAGAAATCTCAGAACTATTAGCTCAGCAGATGGAAGCATTGTCTGGATTTCTCCACTGGAGCATTATAATGAACAAATGGGAAATTGAACGAAATGAAAAAACAGTCTGGAAAAAAAGTTATACATATGTAATATTCTGTCATTACAATCATGAACATTGTTAGCTCCTCCTTCAGAACAGATTTCCTGCCCACTTCTGACCACCCTAATCACTCTGCTCTTTGTTTTCCTCATCAGTTCTGGGTGTTTGTTACTATGACATTCTTATTTCCTTTATAGTACTAGAATTTATACTGTCTTAGCCCATTCAGGCTGCTATAGCAGAACACCATAGACTGAGTGGCTTAAAGAACATTTATTTCTCACAGTTCAGAAGGTCGAGAAGTCCAACTTAGGTTCCAGCTGATTGGCTTCTTGGTGAGGGCTCTCTTTCTGGTTTGCAGACAGCTATCTTCTCTCTGTGTCCTCACATGTTGAAGAGAGAGAGATCATCTCTCTTGTGGTTCTTCTTATAAGGACACTAATCCTATTCATGAGAGCTCTACCTTCATTAATTATCTCCAAAGTCTTCACTTCAACATACCATCACACTGGAGATTAGACTTCAATATATGAATTTTGGGGGGACACCTTCAGTCCATAGCATGGACTTTTATTTTTCTTCCGTGTTCTGGCAGTTGCTTGTCCTACATCTTGCTTGATGTTGTAGGAAAGAGACAATAATGAAGAGAAGAACACAAAATGAAGAGAAACTATCTCTTCTCTTCAAGGAAAAATCTTAGCTAGGAAGATAAGACTGTATCCATTAATTTATCCATTGGTTCCCAAATGTGTTGATTTATTCAAACTATTTATGTTAAACCACTTTAAGCAAATCTCTCTCTATATGTATTCCTTTACATGTGTGTATGTATGCGTGTGTGTTGTTCAATGTGGCTGGACACAGATATGAGAGAAACATCTTGCAAAAAATATAAAATATGCATGCTTTTCTCTCTCTTTTTTAACCTAGTAATATACAGAATAACCAAAGAAAGAAATTAACTCCCTTGACTAGTTACTCAGATGGCGAGTGATTACTCTAAACCTCAATTACCTCTTTTGAGGCTTAGCTATGATTATTGTTGTGAAGTTTTTCCAACTGAATACCTTCCCTCAAACTTCTGGGGCATCTTCTCCTTTTCTTAACTTTGTAGCTATGTGCTTAGGAAGCACTCTCATGAAAAGTCATTAACTGGGGTGTGGGTGTGTGTAAATCTAGAAAAATGATAATTATAATAAAGTAACATAAAATAAATACATTTAAAAAATGTAAATCACTGATCAGATTCCACTGCCCAGAGGAATGAAAGATGAAACTTGTGTACTCTTGAATTTTTTCAAATAATAATAGTTAATATTTGTTGAGAATTGTTATGAGTCAAGCACTGTGTAAGAGATTTACATGAATTATCTCATTTAATCTTCACAATATCCCTATGAGGAAGGTGTTTTAATTATTTCCATACTCGTTCTGCAATTGAGGAAACTAAAGAACAGAGAAGTAGGTAATTTTTACCAAGGTCACACATGAAATATGTTGCATAGTTAATTGCCTTTTTGTTGATAGTTGGGAGTTTATTATTTTGCACAGCATGGCTGAAACCAAAAATATCTATGGGCTTTATGCCCAAAACTTCCTCCCTTCACCTTAAACTAATCCTGCCAAAAACACGTAAGTGATTTTATAAACTCAAACTTCTTAACGATGCGTTGGCGGATTTGCTTGGTCTTGATGCTGTAGACAATGGGGTTCATGAGAGGTGGTACCAGCAGATACACATAAGACATGAGGATGTGTACAATGCGGGGCAGATGTTCACCAAAGCGGTGCACAAGAGACAAGCCAATAATGGGGATGTAGAAGAGTAACACAGCACAAATGTGGGAGACACAGGTGTTGAGGGCCCAAAGTCGCTCCTGGCGGGAGGCAATGCTTACTATGGTGCGGAGGATAAGAGCATAGGAGAGGAAGATGAGCAGTGAGTCCACACCTACAGTGCAGGCCACAACAGAGAGCCCATAGATGTGATTGACAATGATGCTAGAGCAGGCCAGCTTCATGATCTCTAGGTGCAGACAATATGCGTGGGCCAGCACATGGGAGCGGCAGTACCGAAAACGCTTAAGAAGGAATGGCAGGGGGAGGATGAGCAGGGCACTTCTAAGCACTGAACTCAGTCCCATCTTGACAACACGTGTAGGTGTCAAGACAGTGGAGTAACGCAGTGGGTTGCAGATGGCCACATAGCGGTCAATGGACATGGACAATAGAACTGAAGACTCCACTAGAGACAAGGTATGGATGAAGAAGAGCTGAGTGAAGCAGGCAGGGATGCCAATCTCTCTGGCATCAAACCAGAAGATGCCTAGCACGGTGGGCAGTGTAGAAAGGCAAAGGCCCAAATCTGTGAGGGCCAACATGGCCAAGAAATAGTACATGGGTTCATGGAGGGTGACATCAGTACGGATGAAGTGAAGGATAGTAAGATTTCCTACAATAACTGTCAAGTAGATGGAGCAGAAGGGGATAGAGATCCAGCCATGGAGATCTTGAAGACCTTGAAAGCCCGTCAGGAAGAAAGTAGCTTTGTGGAGGCTGTTATTATAGAGGATTATCATAGTTTTACAATCTTGGATTCGCCAATCTGCAATATACAATGGTATTCCTGGAGAGTGACAGGACTGAATTCTCACTCTTCTTCTATGTGTCCTGGGACCAGTGGAGTCATGAAGGCTCAGCAGATGAAACAAGAAAGAATCTGGGGACGTGATCTATTAGCGTTTTCTGGATGGTCTAAGAAAAGGATTTTTATAGGTGATTTCTGTCATCCGTGGATGCCACGTGATTGAGCCTTATGGTGCTATGTCCACTAGTGTTGGTCTCTCAGTGGTTTAACGAGGTAACCTCAGATGGCGCGTTTTTCACGTGTTCATTCCTGAAAAATAAATCTCCAAGTCAATCACCAAAGCATTCAGAATACATATCATATAAATGGGGAGTCAGTACTGAACACCATTTTCCTTAATTATCTACTAGGATCAGGTGCATATCATGTGCATTCAAATGTATTTGTAGGTTGGCTAGGGATTGTGTTTCATTACCCAATGCCTAGCCTGCAGGAGAATGCAGAAGAAGCATTGAGTAAATATTTGTTGAATTCCTTGAACCTGTAACTTGTGATCAGAGTGATGTCTTTCTTGAATCTACATAAAAGCTTTTGGTGGCTGAGGAGGCAGATGGTGGTGTGCAAATCTGAAGTCTGGAGCTGAGAATGTCTGAGAAGAAGCAGGGTCTTCAGAAAACAAATGATTCTGGAAAAGGGTGCTTTTAGGCTTAGTTCTGAGAGATACCAGGAGAGATGCGTGTTTCCAACATCAAGGTGGTTAAGCTGGGGCTAGATGTAGAGATGGGGATGCATAAGAGGTATTCATCAGATCTGAAACAGGAATGAGAAAGAGAAACCTAAAACGGCCAGGAAAATCCCCTAATCTTTAGCTTACAATGAGGAAATTATTCTTAAGGCTTTCAGAATGAGCTGTGCCTCTGGGACTTGGATCAATATGACACACAACAGTAGGTCTGTCCCTATAAAACCTGAACTGGGCTCTCCTTTTCTTCTGCCTTTGGAATTTTTATTCAATTACGTTTATTGCAAGCCACACTCTAATGGATTCTATGTATATTAATATGGTGTGACTAGTATAGTGTTTATCACATGCATACAAAGCTTAATACAGCCAATACTTATTTTAAATGTTATGTGCCTGTCATCTTCCTAAGTGTCTAATGTATCTTATGTCATTCAACTCTCACAATAATCAAATGAGATAGGTTCTATTCTAAGGAGCATATTACGGATGAGAAAACTGTGGCACAGAGATATTTCAGAGCAAGTAATGGTTGAAGATGGAATTCAAACCCTGGAAGCATACTCCAAAGTCTATATTATTGTCCTATGTAGTATTTCTTCCTTTTACTACATAGCATTTTAGCTCTTACAAAAGTCAGACAATTAAAAATTAATCAATTAAAAGACAAAACAAAACTGTAATTCTCATATGTTGGCACAGTTATGGATAGTTATTTCCATTATATTCATAAAAGATGGACCAGGATGGATAACAATAGAAAGAAAACGCATTTTGGGGACTGAGTTCAGTTTGGGGCATGCTGAATGTAAGCATAAAATGGGACTCCTGGGGAGAGTGTCTAGAGGATATTCTGTGTAGTGAGCTCTGGTTTGAGTGAGGGCTTGAAGTACAGGACGGCTCCCATGAATATGGAGAAACTTGCTAGTAGATGCTGTGTGACAAGGAAAGACAAGAGCTCAGTTCATCACACTGGAGAATATTTTAAATAATAGTAGAACATAAAATTAGAGCTAAAAGAGAGACAGAGAGCAGAGAATCAGAGAAACAGTATGAAAATGTAGTGTATAATATCACTAAATTCAAGTCATTAATGTTGACTACAAAAAAGAGATAAAGGAGGATGAGAGTTTATAAAAAGGCATTGCACTTATGATGCTGAGGTCATCATTGATTTTTCAAGGGACATTTTAATAGATTGGAGAAAGATTATGAAGGCTTAAATGATCAGTGGGTGAGGAGGAAAAAGAGTGTACTTTATTTGTAATTTTTCTCCAAGAGAAAATCTATATGATGAACAAGGATATCAAACAATTTTAAGGACGAGAGACGGGAAGTTGAGGGTACTTTTTCAAAAGGCTTTTTTTTTCTCAGTAAGGTACAGGGACATTGAAGGACTGAGGATAAAGAAAGAAGAAAAGTCCATACCCAGCTTTTGCCATTCACACTTCAAATCAAAACAAGTAAAAATAAGAAAATAATGCAATAATTACTATAATAATAAATTCTCTCTTGTTTTATGATTCCAAAGGAGAAAGAGAAAGAGAATATAAAGAGTTGCAGAAAGAAAAGAGGGAAAATGAAGAAGAGAGGTGAAGACTTGGAAAGAAGATGGGCTGTGAAGGAAAAAAGGACTATCATAGGATTTGGAGATGCACTGTGGGTGGAATAGGCAACAGTGCAATCTTGCTCTGATATTGAGAGAGAATGGCAAGAGAACTTTGAAAAGGAATGATAACAAAAAAGGGGAAAAAAATCCATTGATTAAGAGGAAATGTAATCAAGAGTTTAAGTACATGTGTGGCTTCTCAGCCAGCAGACTCACAGTGAATCTGGTTTCCATCCACAGCACACTGAGCCATTTCAGAGAGATTGCAGAACAGAAGAAACACTTTGAGGTCATCTATTTCACTAATCTACCTCCAGATAGGGAAGGATCATTCTTCCTGCTTAGTGGGAATTTTCATCCATAGTACCCTATCCCAGTTATTAGCTCTCCTTCCAAGTATATTCCTCGAATATTATATTTTGGGTAGGGGTAAGAGGCAAGTGTGCCAGGTATGGAGATGCAAAAAAAAGACCAAAGCAAATTATAACTAGCACTGCAGAGATGAGATTTCTGTGTCACTAGAGCCTTGCAACTCTGGCACAGATTTGGAATCTAATAAAGTTTGCTGAACAAATGCATGAATGAAAGGATTAAAAAAAAGATGAGAAGCAGTAGAGATTAAATAAAATAATATTTAGTGCAGCAGCTCCACATTTTCTTCTCAAAGGCACTCACCTCCCGATTAATGGATCAGAGAGGTGTCGGCTGATTCCTCCACTAGACTAGGTCATACACCCTTGATCCTCCCTTCAGCTCTAATTTATTAGGATAATGGGATGTCATCCAGGTGTCTATGGCAGAAACAGAGGAGAGATGTGCTGAGCAGTGATTTCAATGACTCCCTCTGATCCTTATTCCTCATATAATTGCACACAAAGGTGCTTTAATATCCTTCACATCTACGTAGGTGACAGTCAGCAAAATTACTCCCAAGGACAATTGTGACCTTATATTAGCATAAAGCTTGATTGTTCCAAAGCACTGTTAAATCCATTTTAACATTTAATTATCATAATACAATTTAAGGCAAAAAAGGTAAAGATTACAATTTCAATTTTAAAGATAAAGAAACTAATGCTCTGAATATGAGAAAAGAGATGAGAGGCAGCAAGAATTAAACCAAGTGATTAAATTAACTTTTACAACATCACACACGGTGAAAAAGCTAGGACTAAAACCCCAGGCCTCCCATCCCCAGTGCATCTGCCTCTCAAAACTTCCTTAACTAATTTGAAGTGGGGATTTAGCAAGTCGCTAAGACTGAGAGCTCGGTGCGTGGTCCTGGTTATATGTACCCCAGTTATTTCTGTGTTCCTGGCTGTTTCTATGATTCTCCTTATATTGCATACCTGAGCACCAATGGCTGGAGAGAAAAGGACTTGGAGTGCATACTTCCAGTCAGAACTCAGAATAGTTGATAGCTCGGCTACAAGAATATTCCCTGCTTAAAACACAGGGTCCTTTTGAAGAGCCCAACAGCTTATCTCCAGAGGCCTCTGCTGAGGCTGAGAATTCCCTGAAGAGTTCTCAAGACTCTGAGCTGAGGAAGGAGCCCATGAGAGGCTGAGAAACCCCAATCCTGTATGTGGGCAAGGGATATCTTCAAGATATTAGGATGTTTCTAGTTAAGGATTTCATTTTCTGAAACTGTACGAGAAAGGCATAGCTAGGCCTGGAAAGCAGTATTGCAAGAGAGTGTTTTGCTTCAGATTCAGATAAAAGACAAAATTGATTTCAACCTTATCTCTGATACTTTCTAACCATGTGATCATGCCAACCTAGGACGAATTACTTAATCTCTAAGAGAGATTATTTCCTTATATTTCAAAAATGGAATATCTCGACTCTATTTTTATACAAACCCTAGTACTATCAGGCATTCTCACAGGTTTGAGTCAACTGCTAGTGTAACTTGGTTTGAGTTTAGGGAGAAGGAAGGTCCTCCTTGGCCTTCAGTCTTAAACTATAGGTTTCTCAATTACTTTTAGCCATTCCTTGTGTTTTCTCCCTCGTACATATGTGGTTGGGTCATAATTCAGAAACTTGTACCCAATGCCAGTTTAATACTTTCAAATAGTTCATCAACCCATTTTAACTATCAACATCTCTATCAAGAGTTCTTCCAGAATTGGTTTAAACAACTGGAGGAGACACCTGAACCGCATAGCTGATATTTAATGGATTCTCAGTAAATAACATTATTCAAATAATTAACTGAGTGACCATGATTCTAGTTTGTCAAGAAAGGGCCTAATTTACACTTATTGTCTTGGTTTACCAACCAGTTTGGAATTGGGAACCAGTCCCCTATTTTTTGTTTTATCACAAAGTGTTGTAAACAACTATAGTACAATGGCTGGGATGGGTTGCTGGATCTTCACTTTGTACTTCAAGTTTCTGCTACAATTTCACCCAATGGTCTGTGTGATACATGTGTAGTGATCACAGTTCCTACTTTAACACATTTCTAAATCTGAAAGATGGCCAGTAGTGTCCATCTTTCTTTTCTTGACTTTTTCCAATGCAATATTAGCAAAGTTGCAAAGATAGCAGGCAGGGTCATCACTGATAAAATTAAATTCACTGGTGTACAAGCATGTAGATAGAGCTACCTCCCTCCAGGTTCTCTTGGTCTGGGAGGTGTATTTGATGATGCTACTCCTTCCAGATACTTCTTTTTTTAACCAATCACTTAGGTTTCTTCTTGTGCCAAAGCCTGTGAAGTAAAAATGAAACCACTGGCCTGCCAGTAGCCTGTGTCAATAGGAAATAATTTGATTAAGTGAACCACCCCAAAATGTTCAGGAAATAAAGACAGATGCATGCTTAGTGTTTATCATTTCTTATAATGGTATAATTTACTTCATTGTTTGATAGCCTTATTTTTAATAAGCCCATTGGCAGCAAAGACTCTAAAAAGTGAAATTTCACAGTTTAATTTTAAATTCTCTATTTCTCTTTCTCAGGAAATTTGATAATGTATTTATAACTTGAAAAAAAATTTATCAATATACGCCATCCACAGGGTTGTCAAATTGATGTAATTGATCACATGACAACCAGAAGAAAAAACAATATCATTCACTTCAAAATGCTAAAAGTTGTGTGAATTCTCCTAAAAACACTGCATCTAACTGTGGTAATTTACC